GGAAGCCATTATGACGTAGCTTCCGGTGCTCGTAGCGTTACTAAATCCCATCAGACTACCAACATTTAAGCCTGGTGGCTATAATCGGTCAATCTCCATCAGACAGTCAACAAACGCCGATCGTGTTTGAACCTTTGAACTTTTCTGCATCAGAGAATCCTGAAAAGGCTTTCGGAACTCATAATGTGAGCTAGACTTCCAGTGGTGCGCGCCGATTTCATTATGCAGCGAGACCCAGGTAGCCTGAGCTAAAAAAGCACCGCCTGGACTTGGACAATGTGGTTGAACGATCCCAAAGGCTGAGGAAAAGGTATTTGATGTGGGTACCTAACAAGCCCAAGGTGCTGTCGAATAAACGGTTTTCGGCGTGAAATAATGAGACATCAAAAACGATGCTGAAATGAATGTTCACGTATGTATACGCTAAATTACGTCCCATTATTTGGGCAGCTCGTTCTATTAAAAACGATGTTGGAATGAAAACGCATACGCTAAATTACGCTCTATTATTTGGGTAGCTCGTTCTTGACATCGACTACATTGCTCAGCAACACAACCCCAGTGCCAGGCTCCGTGAAACTATTATTCTCACATTGTTTACTTTATGTTTGTGAACTGAGCTTACGTGCGCCGCAGCTGCCCTCCAACAATTACATTTCATCTTCATTAAAAACTAATTAATTAACATCAGATTATTGGCAAGTGTAAATGAAGCGCAAATTCAATAACAGGGTGACCAGATTACTGGAATTGATGCCATTACTTTATCGGATTGGCACACAGTTTGCCAAGTGATCTAACTTACAGCTGCCAGAAGTTTTCCTCACGATGCCTGGCTAGGCTCTCTCATTAAATATTTACGCACTCTGATAACTCACATGATTTTCAGGGACGCCTATCGGAAAGTATACCGGGCCGGGGCACACAGGACTATTCTTTAAAAACGAAATTTATTTTGCGTATCGTGGACTTAAAATATTGGGCTGTCTTATTTTCATGAGAGTCGCTAAACTTATATCTGGTGCATGCTCAATAACGAATATGTGTTCGCACGATTCGAAACATTAGTATCTGATCAATCTCCATAAATTTGCAAAATCTTCGAATAAAACTATAACTAGTTCCTGCCTTGCATCGAATGGTCTCATTAAAAGCGTCGTTTCACGACCAACTCTGAGCTGGCATGTATCGTATACCTAGTCAGAACTATGGTTTCATAGACTGAGGAGCTCGGGTTTCTCATTTCGCTAACAAATGGGAGTTCAGATGCTTCATCATTCATATTTATGCTCGCATTGTTCGTTGCTGTACTGACAAGCGTGGATGTCCAATTAAAGCCTTATTTTAGGCAACTAAAATTAGTTCAGCTGTGAGTTAGGTCTGTAAAGCTACGATTGGTACACCAAAAGCCATCTTATTGTGGCACTAAGCAACATCAATTCACTTTGAATATTTTATGGTCTCGGTTTAATCTCCGTCCGTAAATGATCTCTCCACACCCATCAAGCTGCCCGTCGAACGCCGATTATTATTTATTGCTTTGCCTCGCGGATATTTGGGTACAAACGATTCTTCGATCGAGCTGCCAGATACTAATCAGATGCGGCCTGATGCTCCGTTCATAAAAAGCATCGAGCTCTCAAGCTCTTGGAAAGCCGACTCAGGACTGTAATCCCCCATCGCGGACCTGTACTAACGCTACACGAGCCAATCATAAACAAACATACAGCACATGCACGATGTTCATGTATTGTAGACGAAACTTAGCTGATGCAGCAGTGGACGGTGTTGCGGTGAAATCGTGCCGTAATCCTTTTGTCTTTTTACAATTTAAGCTCAATTTGAAGCCAGGTGAACACTTCCTGAACCGAAGCGGCGTGGCTTACTCTCCACCATAGGAATGTCGTACTTCCACGTTGTTGGCTATTTCTGTCCAATCTGAACAATACTATTTCCAAGCAATGAATGCTATTCGTGACTTGGATGGTACCATTACACCCAAAAACAATGCTGTAACATGTGAGGCGTGTCTTTAATTTTCATGACTATTGTCAGTGGTTACCATTAGCTGTTGTTTTTCTTCTTTGCTTTGGTTCCTCAATGCAACACCGGGTGCTGTTTTTACGGCCCGTGTTTTCCTATAGCAGTGAATGTTGTGAAGTGTTCGAAACGGGTGCAGCTGTGCCTGTCTAGTAAACGCTAGTCGGGTCGCCAAGATTTGGCAGCACACCTGACACATCTTGGCAATAACTCGACCGATATTTAGCAGTTCTGTTTGACTCTCAAGGGAGGATAAAAAGTTGCGATTTCAAACTGAAAAGCAGTGCCTGCGTGCCCTTTGGTGGCCTTGACTCACGTGTTTGATCAACAAGCAATGGGCGGCAATGAAAGTTTGTTTGCTCCAGCTGCTAAAATGCGAAACCGAAGTACACAACCAGCATCCCCCGCCCTGGTCTGAATTGGTCATGAGTAGATGCATCTCAAGTCAAATATTGTCTAGGTGCTCCTCATTGTTACGCACTGGTAGAAATTATAGCCATGCGATGCAAGAACTCAAACAATATAAAACAATGGAAATGCTAGTGCTGCAACTCCCAGCCAGCCATTAGCGATTACGTAAAGCAATTCACCAGAAAAGACTTCAGCCTTTCAGCGGTAGAATCATCCTTCTGGAGTAACGGCATCGAACGGAGTACGTTACGCAGGTCTGGCACCCCAGGGGGTCCTTTGCATTTGATTGGCCCTAGTGGTTGGCTCACGTTGATGGCACTGAACTGCCGTCCGACTATCTACGCCATCTGGCACCACGATTGGCTCGATCAAATCTCTGAAAAAGGAGAGGCGCCTGGACGACTTTTTTTTAGATCATATTCTTTCTCAGTGATAAGGAATCAGATGCTCCCCTCAATGACTCTATAGATCGCATACTTAACCCTATTAGTGGCAGGCTCCTGGCTACCCCATATTAGTGGCAGGGGGGGGGGGGGCTGTTTACGACCCCCCCTTGATATCTCGAGATCTAACCGGCCGATTTCCAAATTCAAACGGCATTCGATTTGGCTCAACGAGATCTACATTTCTAAAAAAAAAAAAAATTAAAAATGTCAATAGGGGGTAGAGGGGGGTAAAAACGGGCAAATTGCAGATACATTTTAGACTGTTTATCACGGCCAGGTTTCTGAACCAATCTTAACGCAACTTTTGCCGATCGATAGAGAATGAACCAGGAATTCACATGGATCCTAAAATATGCATTTTCAAAAATCATAGGCGGATACAGATCATTGAGATTGGGGGTACACAAAAAGTATAGTAAATAAGGTTTTTGTTGGTACTGTTTCTAAAAAGGGTGGCAATGGTCTTGTTATGTTACAATTTTCTTATGAGAGAACGACTAAAATTGTATTGGTCATGCATAGGCGGTGTCAGGGCACCTATGTTGGGAGGTAAAAAATAACCCCCCTTTTTGGACGCCTGGATCCGCCTATTATAGCAAAAACGTGTCAAAAGAGGATGCACAATAACTTTGTATATGTTATCACATGATACCTTTCATTCACTGTTCGTAAAACTGGTGCAGCATCGTGATCTTCGCCCAAATGACTCGCTTCACGAATAGGACCCCCCAATTCCCAGTGCTCTGGAGCCGCCCCTGGTAAAGTTATGAGCTTGAAATTTTCAGGGAATGTGCCCAATTTACTTTCAGGAAAAGTCAGAAAATTTCAGCATCGTAGCTTCAGCGGTTTCGGAGATATTCCCGAAAAACCTGAGGGGTGGATAAAAACAACCCCCCTGCCACTAATATAGGGTTAACAGCCGCGACTCCCGATTTAGATTGTGAACTGCGTTCAGCATATAGTCCCCAGAACGCAGAATGTTTGCACCGATAAACTCTGGTCAAATTGTATTCGCTCAGAAGACCTACATACCACAGAAAGGCGCACTGTAGCAGGCTTGACAAATGTGAAGAATTGAAGTGAAATAATAGGGAAAAAGTAAATGAAAAGCACTTTGTAGCAAACTTGTATTAGCAAACTGCTTGGCAACCTAAATGTGATTTTCTTTCAAGTTCTATTCCAATCAGCCTTGGCTATAACAATATGTCCACCATGCAGTGCTGGTCAATGCCTCAATTTCGGCTTACGTAAGAGTTAAATTTACTGTACACATTTGCTATTTGATCAATAACAACCATTTTAAGTCACCATGTTAGGATTTATATGTGTATTTTATAGCGTATGGAAGAGTTATTAAAACTTATAATGACCGTCTAAGTGTGTAGCCTATACCTAACAGTTTATACCTATTATTGAAATCAGAACGCAGCCGTTTGGTTTACGGCTGACCATAGCAGCAGATCACAGCGACTCACTAACCACTTGAACGAATCAAATTTCCGGTCATATTTTCGCTAATGCGACATAATGCGGCTTATACCATTCATTTGGCATTAAATTTCAACTAACTCCAAACTGGGACACCCCAGATAGTTGTCCAGCTCTTACATCAGGCACTTCCATGAGTGCTGCCAACGACCTCGATCGTTCAAATAAATGGCTGCCATATGGGTGAGTGGAACGTGTTCCCACCAAACTGGACACGGCAGTAACTCGCTATCATGACTTCGTGCTACACCACCCTACCATTCATTTTGTACCGTCATGTGTCGCAGTAAGGGGTATTACCGTGGGAAATCAATAGCTAAAATCAGGTTACGTTCACTGGTCGATTCTATAAAATGCTTGCTACGCACGGTGAATTTTATTCGTGAGTTTTTATGGTCAAATTTTATTTTCACCCCGACACAATAATACAGCCCTAAGTCAGACATCCTAAAAGGAATGGCATAATAAAAGCTCGATATTAAAAATGTATGTTCGATATTACAAACAATATTACCTGTATAAAACGGACACTAGCGACAAACCACCAAAACAATGTTCCGCAACTATAAACAGCGTTCCGTATCACATCATTGACATGTTTCAATTCTGTCACAGGCCATGGATCCGGATTTGGAGGGTTCAGAATGTCTCAACTTCAGCACGGACATCTTTGGCAACTACAACTTCTCCGAGAATGACATGCCGCCACTACCGGCCCTGGAGACCGGCCACGTGATTAAGGTTCGTTCAATGGCAGTCTCCACGCTGAATTGGTCACGTGGTGGTGGCCGCGACTCGAGGCCGATAAAGCAGTGTCTATATATAAATTGCACGCCAGACTACTTTGTCAACCGACTTCTGTTATTTATAGGTTATTTTCTACTGGATTATAGGTACTTGAAGAAGTCTTAATGCAATGAGCTATTTTTTTTTGTCTAGGTAAAACATGTCTCAGGAATCCAGCATAACTTCGTCAGCATTTTCATGTTATATGTCTGTGGTTTGCTGGTATTAGACATACACTAAGGTAACTCCATAGTGTAATAAATAACGTTATTTATTACACATGACAACTCTAAGGAACTCAAAAGCTGGCTCATAGCATAAACTACGGTAACGGTAAAAAATGATGTAACAAAACGCGTTATTTTATTGTCAGGCACAACAAATGCTTCTAGAACTGCAAGTTATAGTTCAACTATAACGGGGATAAAATGCTCGGAAAAGAAAACGGGGGGTGGAGACTTCCACTGGCGTCCAACTGGCGTCTAACTGAGCACACGTCCAAGTTGGCGTCTAACTTGGCGTCTGACTGTTGGACGGAGACTCCCAAGCTACACGCGTCTAAAGTTAGCCGTCGCCAGGCAGACGCAGCCGCCGTCCAGGTAGACGCGTCTAAAGCTAAGACGCGTCCAGCTAGATGCGAAATGGAAGTCTCCACCCAGGGTATCATAACTTTAAACTTACCTCGTGCTTACAGTAAGTTTTGATAGCTTAGCGCAGGTCGCACGCACATCATTTTAAACGCTCGTGTTCGTTCTCATATTACCACAGTATTGATCGTTTTGTGCATCACAATTTACTATGCCGAATACGGGTCTGCACCCTCCTTACGAGAAAATCGCACACTAATCAGCTGCAATAAAATCAAGTAATATGCGTGTACTTTAGAAACAAGTAAGTGTATTTTCATAGCGTCGCAAGCCCGTTGCATTTTACACTATTGCATGCAGTGTCATTGCTCGTAATGTTCACGAGCCTTTGAACCATGACGCTGCAGGGTACATTGTTATAAACCACGCAATTTTATGCTGCCTTTATTTTTCTCGCAGACGTGAAGTGGCTGCTTTCGGGAGCAAATATCCATTTCCATCGCTTGACTGCCTCTAAAGCTAGCCTCAAGAGTGATATCGAAGGCCAGTTTCGATGCGGCAGTGCTAAATTATTTCACATAGGACACGTCAACAACAGAACCCCGGAAACAAATTGCCAATCATGATACCGGCATTGTTCAGACGAACTGGTTTTCGGCGTCTACTCGCATTTTCGACACGATATCGCCTACTTTTTCATCTTCGCAAACTTTTGTTGCTATGGCTACTCTTGGTTATGTCTATACCACCCTTAACATGTTTTTACGCATTAACACTAAAGCTTGACTAATATTAATTGAACTATCGATTGTCGTCTTGCTTGGCACCTGATAATTTTTTAAAAAAAGTGCGACTTTGCTGTAGATTTCTTGGGGTGTAATGGCTGCACTAAGTCCACTATGGATTGCTTTGCAATAGCGACTTGGCTTCCAAAAAGTACCGGTCTGGAAACGATTCATGCTGGAGTAACGTCCTCATTACATTAAACGTATCTAAACTTTGCAAGAATATTAGATTAAATAACAATTGTATACGCCAGGCAACTTCTTCCGATAAGAATACTTTCTTCGCATGAATATCCGAAGTTTCAAACAGATATTTCACTTATCTAAAAGCGTGCAATGCTATACGATGCTCTACTTTGCTTCACTGGATCGAGTGGTGGTTTGAATGGGCTGAGACGCTATTCTTATACACTCACCGCGATGGGAAACCGATTACATTTGCATAACATGAGAGTGGTAGGTGGTTTTCTGGAGACAATCTTCGCTAATTTAGGGACAACCACGTGGAAAAGTACATCCACCAAGTCAGGCACAGCTGAGTTAGTGCAGTTTCGTTTGTTAATGCTCTATTCCAAAGTCAGTCTACTAAAGAAGCTACATTGATGCTAAAGGGTCAAAGACCATTGTCGATCTATTTTAAGCCACCAAGGACTGCTACTTTGTTGACAATGCATTGTAAACAAAAGTTTTCCTTGTTTATACACCACGGCATCAGTTGTCTAACACTTCCTTTGTCACTAATATGATAGTCAAGCCTCAAAATCGCATTGTTCATTGCGCCGGTGGTTCTTGCCTCTTTTTTTTTGTAGTTGCGTGCACATAATGTGAAAAATTAAATGGATGATAAAGGTCTGATTGGTGCCTAAGTATTGATAGCGGACATAACTGCATGGATCAGCGATGCAGACGCGTGGCTGAACCCTATAGCCTTGATGTGAAGTAAGACGGTCCTTTTAGAAAGAATCAAAGCGAGCTGCGTGCGTTGGTACGCATTTTGCATGCAACCATGCGCACACAAGCCGGTTCACTGTAAAGGACGAGCCGATCCACCGTTTTTTGGGAGTATGTCTGCATAGTTCGGTGGATCATTTCTGGGTGTTATAAATGCAATAGTAAGTGTGGCCGATATCAGACGTCTGGGATCTTTTTATACCAGATTGACACGGGTCCAGACGAAAACAGCATACAAGGGCGGGAAGGAAAATCACTGGTGAACTGGCATGGGCACATGGTTACTGAAAACTGAACAATTAGTCATTGTTCGTCACCAATACGACCTTGCTCCTAGGAATATAAAATGAGGCCTACCTACTGTGACACCGCGTCCTGTTGATGCCTTGAGTTTGTTGTATTTACCGTATTCTGTTCAGGTTAATTAATACTTTGACTTTTTAGCTTAGCAAGAAAAAGCATCTTAACGTACAATCAGTAACGACCTTCCTTCGTTTATTTAAAATCTACATTTCTTGTTACTTCTTCTTAGCCCGCGCGGGGCTGGGGGGGTAAATGTTACCCCCCCTCGCGAATTTTTGCAATATCTCTAAAACGGCGGCGCGCAGCGCCGCCAAACTTTCAGTACCTTTTCTTACATCAATTTGACACGTTTCCTGAAAATTTGAGCGAAATCCGTCGGAATTTTTTTGAGAAATTGACGTTTTAGTGACGTCATGTTCGCCATTTTCGCCTAAAAAACGGCAAAAGTTCAAACGCCGCTAACATCTTCATTTTTAAAGGAATCAAGACGTAACAAAAAAGGATATACGTAATTTTACTTTGTCTATCAAATGGCTATCTGGGTTTTTTGAAAATTTTGGATTTTGGCCCAATTTTTTTAAAAAACTGACTTTTTTGGGAAAATAGCTATAAAATCCAAAATTTTGAGTGTATCGAAAAAACCGGAATATATGTCAGAGAAGTGGGCTATGTGCACCTACATACCAAGTTTTAGAAGAATCGGTTCAAAAATGTGGGAGTTATTCAAAATTGTATGACGTCACGGCACACAAAAATTTTGAAAAATGACTTTTTTGGAAGTTCTAGACCTCGTACGGAAACAAAAGTAGCACCATTCGATTCTCCGTGAAAAACTGCATCAGATTGACACCATTTTAGGCCTTAACAACCAACTTCAAAATTTGACCTCACTTGACCTGACCTTGACCTGACCTCGACCTGAAATTCATCCAGAGGTGGTCCATGTCACTTATTGAGTGTGCCTATTGAATTCTATGAGTAAAATGACCCATAAAACATGTGTCGCAGATGCCCTTTTCTATATTTTGTTTTTGGTGACCTGACCTGACCTGACCTTGACCTTGACCTCTGAATGATATTGTATGCAACGAATGTTGTCTTGGTAGCCTAAGAACACGTTTTGGGCGATCAGCAGTCCATGACTCCATTCTTCGGCAACTACGGTGCAAGGCCGATACTGTAGGAACTTGCAATTTGTACCCTTGACCTGACCTTGACCTTGACCTCAAACTTAAAATTAAGTACATGTTTTTAGTTGTTCGTGATGAGATCTTTCGATTGGCGTTTGAATTTTCCAAATCGGACCATTAGTTCGGGAGATAACAGGGGGGTAAAATTTACCCCCCCCCCCAGCCCCGCGCGTTCGGCTGGAGACCCCAGCCCCGCGCGGGTTAGAAAACCGGGCGCCAAAATCCGTTGCCATCGTTCACCTTCCCGCCCATGTTTCCACAGCTACAAAAAAGAGAAAAGAATACACGCGGCTGTCGCTCTCTCTATTCTTGTTTCTTTTGACCCTTGGAAAGGAGTTCACCTCTAAACACCTCTACACTCTAAACTAAATCACCTCTTAACAATACCGCGGATATACTATTCATTACGGACAGTTTCACCCACAAAGTAACATCAAGAACTTCATAGCTCTGGCATGCAACTAGTGTTTACATGTTCAGCATTTGCTCAATATTTTTTTTTTGTCATTAAAGGCCTTATGCTCCTTCCCCCTCGCCTCATCACTGTACTATTCCGGGACGATTGCCCCGTTCGTTGTTTATTTAGCCGATATTAGCTTTTTTGCTAAGCTACAAAACTCTGTATTTGGATAAATCCTATGAGGTTTAGGTGACTTGTGACATCACATGCCACTACTGGTTAATGCGCATCTAAATAAAGGAAATGGGGATTACGCGCATAACCTAGACCGCTGCAACCAGTTCTGCTCTGTACGCCACACAAAGCAAATGCAGCAATAAGGATGGGTTCTGAAATATTTGAAAATCCTTTCCGCAACACAGCGACACAATATGACGTCATATCTCGCCATCAGTCTAATCCCTGCATACCGGAGTGCAGTTTTATGTGTCTGTTTCGGCTCAAGTTCGCCTTATCTCATGTTTCTCTTTGTGAATGTTCATTCATTTGTGAACAAGCTGTGTTAGCATATGTGTAAATTATTCTTTGAAAAAGTTATAAAACTGGGGGTATTACGCTGCTTATCATTCCTCAATGCTCTAACGAAATTAAGCATTCTTCAGCGGGTGGGAAAATGGTCGCGTGCGTTGAACGCTTCCCGGACAGGGAAACAAAAACAATTTGAAATAGAGCGGGCGTCAGAATTTCTATTTTGGTATCATTATAGCATCATGCATGGTTTCTTCCAGGTATATTTAGGTTCACCGAATGCTTCTGTGATATGCAATGTGGTTGATGCTTTTCACCATGTAGAAGTAGGCGTATAGTGAATAACTATGAATTGCCCCTCCGCTCATGCTTAAAGTAATGCAACCAGAAGTCTGTCGACAGCAAGCTGACCTTGTAAGCAATCGCCGTCACAATTGTCTTCTTTGATATTTTTTTTTCTAACACCTTGTCATATTGCTTCGCATTTCGTTTTTACCCAATTACCTTATAGTTTGATCTTAAATCGTTTTCTGCCACGTTGTCAAACGCCACACATATCGCCTTTTGGCTCATTGTCACATCATATGGCAAACTGTCTTCTGATTCATTGTCACTTTGCTTGACACATTGTCCCCTGACGCACTGTCACAAATGTCATGGTGTCGCATGCTGTCTTCTGACCATGTCATTCCGTTTGGCAGATCGTCTTCTACGCTGCAGTCTTCATCGGCTCTCTGGTGGGAAATGTCGGCGTCATCGTCATTGTCGCCACATCTCGACGCATGCGCAGTGCGATCACTGCCTATCTTGTCAACCTTGCCGCCGCCGACATCAGCATACTTCTGCTCTGCATGTGGGTTCATTTGGTTCAAGATATATCCAGACACCGGCATTACCCACTTGGCGCCTTTTGGTGCCGTTTCAACGGCTTCGCGCAGAGTGAGTATACTTGCTGGGGAATGGGGTTCATGTGGAAAATGTGGGATACATTTGATGGAAAGGAAAGAGCGGAGGGATTTTTACGGAAAGGATAGAGTGATTGGGTGTGATGTTTGAGTGAGTGTGAAGATGATGTACGGTAAGTAAATGAAGCATTATGATGTTTTTGGAAGAGTATGCACTCTTGTGGATTTATTGTTGAGATAAGCATATAATTAGCTTTGGCCAAAGGAAACGCAATGAAAGTATTTGCTATTCTGGTTGCATGATGGAATGAAGTTTGGGACATTCTTTTATTTCCGGTGGATGGCTTGCGTACGCTAGATCATTTATGAACACAAAACTTTTTGCAATATCTCTTATTTAAACGTTTCAACACTCATCAAAAACCTACACTCCATCTCCCCGAAGCCTCCGATCCCTCAAACGGCTCCGATACCACAATATTTCGGTAACTGCGTTGATGGCCACCCCGAGGTCAAACGCAGCTCCACCTCGCGCCCTGCGGGCATCGCGAGGTCACGTTCCAAGCGTTGTTAGCCTGCTGATGGGCGATCATTTTACAGCTGACCAGATCGGGGGATGATGTCGATTACGTGGATAAATCTGCCGATTCTGGCGCGCTCTATAGTAGTTTGAAGCGTCAATTGACACAGCGAACGCTGCACGTTCAACATGTTTCATTAGTGTTCGCAGGCCTATATTGGTGGCATAGTGAGTTGAATAGCTGCTAAAAAGGAATTGAGTGTGATATTGTGGTGGGCTACGTCTGTTTGGAGTTTAATGTGTATATTTACGAAGATGAGAATGACGGGGTTGTCACAGGCAAATAGGCCTACCGTCTTGCTTTCCATTTTCTGTAGACCCGACATAAGCCACCCTTTTAGTTCGCTTTCACTTCGCGTCTTACATCCCTTCATGACAATTGACGTCATGATCCCACGCGTAATATTTTCTACCCACATGTTATGAACAAACCTCGTGTTAGCAAAACGTCCCAGCGGGGGGATTTTGTACCGCCGTATTGACCGGTGGCGTCAGATATATCTGGTCCTGATGGCTCTATCGTGTTCTCCTGATAGCATCACGTTTTCCTGATGACATTATTGGGGTGACGTTCAGACTTCGAACCGCGGCTCACAGTCGCCGTTCGGCGGGCGCTCGGAGAGTCTATGCTCTGAATCGGTGATTTTCTGGTCTGAATCGATGGTTTTCTTGTCTGAATTGGTGTCTTCCTGCTCTGAATAGGCGATTCTCTGGTTTGGATCGGCAACATTCTCCTCTGAGTCATACATTTTTTGCCCGGTGTCAGAGATTCTCTGATGAAGTTAGATAGGTGATTCTCTGCTCTGAGTCGGCAATTATCTGGTTTGATTAAGAGTCTCTGGTCTGATTAAGAGATTCTCCGTTATCATTGAGCGACTCTCTGCTCTGAATCGGCGCAAATAGACGCGAGAACCCGACGCGACTCGACGCGACCCCAGCGCCCTGAGTCAGCAACAGGATGACATATTGGGCAGGAAATCAGTTACCGAGGAGGAAAATGGCGCATCTGCGACTGCCTGAGATAAAGAGAGGTCAGGCCGGGTAAAGTAGCTGGAGACAAGTCTAGAAATACTTTTCGCAGATAGATATACCCCGAGTAGCATATCTGTCTGAGAAACTAAGGCATAGTTCGCTGCTCTGAAGTTGTGACAATGCAATTGTGAAGAAGTGATTTAAAACAGCCGGGCTTTGAAGACAGGCGATTTATCTTAGCAGCAGCTTAGCAGGTTTATCCGTGCAGCATTTTGTGTTACTACGCCAACACACGACGCTCGTAGATTTCATTAAATCGTCTCCGATCGCCAAAGATCGCCTATTGTGTTGCCATGGTCACAAGTGACGTAAAATCTCAAGGCGACCATTGGCTGACCCTTTGCTGACCCCGGGAAGTCGGGGCATTAACCCGCGCACCGACGGGGGGGGGGCGGATATCCGCCCCCCCTGAGGTTTTTCGCGGATAGCGGGAAAACCGCGGCGCGTAGCGCCGCGAAATTTGGTATGACTATTCTGTCATCAATTTTACACATGGTGTGCAAGTTTGAACCTCCTAACTTTTAAGGTCAGGTCACCAGGTCACTTTGAATGACCTAACCTCAAGTCACTTTTTTGCAACTTTGTCACCGTGCCAGAGCTACAGTAGATGTCGGAGGCCTTTGAAAGTCGCAGAATGTTATTAGGTCATTAGTAGCTACAATTTGTATATCTAGGAATTTTGATGTCGGTGACCTAAGGTCAGGTCAATTTCGCGACCTCCCCATTATAAGTCAATGGGGGAAAAATCAACTCCCTGTTTTTACCACTAAAACGGGTCGGAATGGCCCCATATACCATACATGACTTCACATACGATCAACCTTCACTACCTTGAGGCCTGTTTTGCTGTTGGGCAGCTGTAAGGTCATGTGACGTCATCAAAGGTCACCAAAGGTTTTTTGCCAATAACTCCTTACAGGAGTAAGATACAGCCGCGCGGATGGTCTCATTGTGTTCAGCTCGTCAAGACGCATCGAATGATATACATGATGACCTCGAGGTCACGTGACCTGAGGTCAACCTTTGACCTTGACCTTTCGAGGTCAACATATATATCATTCGATGCAGATTCACGAGAGGATCACGATGATGCCCTTAGTTTGTTCCTATCTTGACTACTTCGAAAGTTATTCGAGAAAAACCCTCTCCATATCTAGCGCCGCCATTTTGACTTTTTCGACCCCTGTGACGTCATCTTTGACATGACCTGAAAATGACCTTTGTAAAAATTGTAGACCTTGTCCGTGCGTATCCGATGCCGTTTACCGCTGGTCGCTATCTTGCTTCGTTCTCGAGATCTCAGGGGGGGGGGCGGTCATCCGCCCCCCCCCGTCGGTACTAAGTTGGCGCAGACCCCGTCGGTGCGCGGGTTAAGCAAAGTTGGTTTTGCGTCAGAGTATACCAGAAATACCACGAGCTCGAGGCGATAGTGGTTATTACTGAATAGTTTCATATTGCCCTGAGGCTTGATCGAAGAGAAAGGAGCTTTTCCACGAACTGAAGCTTCCCTCTAAAGCCACTAGCAGCTCCATGGTTGATGGTCCCGCAAAAGATGGCCGCTATAGATTGTTTTAGTTTAAGTTACTATCTCTCAGATCCAATAGCAATATTTACGAAGCGGGACAACGATTTTCCGGGTCTCTACCATCGCGCAGGAATCAGTCATCCGCGCTCAGCAACTGTGAGCGAGCTTTGTCAAGATCACATAATTGAGTAAAATATGTGTGCCTTTCTCAGAAGGGCTGATGTTCATGTTTTCATATGCTGATTATTTTACTGCATGGAGAAGTGTTTTAGTTTTATGTTGCGTTTGAGTACCAAAAAAGTAAACTCTCATTGAAACTTGAATGCTCTCAATATCAACCAGAATTCGATTAGCCTTCAGACGGTCGTTTTATAAAACAAGAAACGAAAAAGTTCTTTGGGACACCAGAAACTTGACATTTGTCCGTAAATTTGCCATTATCTAATAATGCGCTTCAAGTCCTGGGTCTGGCCATGTTCCATTCGAGAGACTCGTTCATAAGCAAGCGAAGTTCGACGGTGGTGAATACTCAATGCTGATATGTCCCGTAAATTTTGCTTCAAACGCACCGGCTCAACTCGTATGGGAACAGAACGGTGTGAATTTCGATTAACGCCGCTGCATGTGCCATATTTTCATTTAATGTTTCTTGATGATTATCGGTTAAGGAACAAGAAATCACACAGGCCATTTAATCGTTTCAAAAAGCTTATTTATTGAAAGCTTGTATGAAAAACAGTAGTGGTGGTTGTGAAATATCTTTCTCCTAAAAGCAAAATTGAAAATAACCATATTCCTCTTGTTAACCTCGTCCGCTGTAACTTTTCCAGTTGCTTTCAATTGAGTCGCATTCATTTGTAAACATTCTTGTGACAAACCACAATCCTCTGATATCTGATGTATGGCACGCGTTTGCAAACACACTTAAGTTAACGCACACTTGTATGCACTCAGATACATTATGAAAGGAACTCTTCCCCTCGCCTCATTTCCCTCTCATCCGTGGCTGAAAATGTGCGTGACCCGTGCGTGACCTGTCAACTTACAACCTCATCATACCCGAAGTCACGACAAGCACTTCCGACTTGAAAAGGATTCTGTAATTGAATTTGGAACATGCCAGTGTAGGTAGTAGCCAGAAAGACGAATGGTTAGGTCAGACACGAATTTTAAAAGATTAACAGGTTAGGTTGTTTTGAAAAGTAGACTGACGAAGCAAAGCCTACGCTAACGGAATTAAGTCAGTGCTGTATAGGCGCGTTCTTAATCCTTCCGATCGAGAAACGAAATTCAAGAGAGAGAAAGAGAGAAAGAGTATGCAAAAATATGATGTGGATTCACATAGACACAATCTGTCTCACTTGATGGCTTCACAAAGACATGAAACCTTCCCCAACCGGACACGCTGCTAGTCATGAGAGCCTTATTTCGAGCGTAGTAACAAATCAAATCACTCCTCCTCCACCGTAATAGGCAATCTCACGAGGAATTCTTGACTAATTTTACGGGGTAAACGTGGCACATACTATGATTATATGCGATATTGTACACAATGCAACCCGACAATGCTCATGACGTCGATGCATAGCAAACACAATGGCACATAAACTCGGGTCAAGGTCTCAGGATTTTCACGTGAAAGACCAAAGTGCCTCTGTGAAGGTCAGCTCGGCCGGGGCTAATCTGGGACAGACATGAATCAGACATCGTGATGACTCTTGGCTCCCCTCGACGTATGTCACGCATTTCTGGCCAATGGCGATTCCTCGCGCTTCACCCAAGGGAAATCAATGCTTCGGCGTTTCCCGGATGTCCGAAGCTGGCACGGGGGATGGTTTGCGCTTAGAGGAATCGGAAGTGTTTGGCGCGGTTGCGGATTGCGTTTTGAATCAGTGCT